GTCAAAAGGGTGGCTACAGCCGCAGCGTCTAGCTCGATCCAAATGTGGCTAGAGAGGTGGACAACAATCTGAAGGCCGATGTGTAATTCCTGAATCTCTGCATCATAGCTCGAGGAGGCCTGAAGGGACGCATGGAAGGCGGTGATGAGGGCCCCGCTATGGTCTCGGATCAAGCTTCCTCCTCCGGCAACTCCAGTGTGGCGATCAAAGGAGCCATCAGTGTTCAGCTTGACCCACGGAGAGTCAGGTCGAAGCCAAACAACAGCTCTGGGCCGAGGGTGCCGAACAGGCAGTGGTGGGGCCACCATGTAGCGATGTGGTGGCGTGCAGTCTGTCCAATCTCGGGCCGTGAGCCTGCCCAATGCGATGAGGAGTGAAATGTGTCTCTCAACCTCCAAAACAATGTGAGAAAACATAAAAGTAATATCCCTATGCTTCGCACTATTCCTTTCTGTCCAGGTGAACCAATGGATCAGACAAGGAATGAGGAAGCCCACGTGTCTAAGGTGTGTGCTCTGTGAGAAAAAACTCAGGAGCTCAAAAAAACTGTATGTAGTGGGTAGGGATATATGTGTCCAAGTGGCAAAATGCTCCCACACTCTCCTCACAATCTCACTCTCTAGAAAAAGGTGGGTAAAGGTCTCGGTCTCATGGCGTCCAGTCTCAGAACAACACACACACCGAGAGGGGAAGGAGATCCCTCTCGCGTGTAGCACAGTATCGACGGGTATCCAGTGCAAGAGGAGGCGCCAAAGGAACACCGAAATAGTAGGGGTGAAAAGGTCACTCCAGATGGCCCCGAAGAGGAGATTAGGCCGATCCCTCAGCCTGATCTGCTCCCAAAACGAGGTAGTAGAAAACACACCCGATGATGTAAGTCTCCGCCTCATGCTATCTGAACCGTCCCCCGATATAGGGATCTGCTGGATCTGATCTAATAAATGCCCGCTAAAACCCGCACCAGACCCCAACTCCCTATCAAGCTTCCCCCTATCCCACGACCCGTCCGACCAGAGGTCGCTCATAAGCAGGTAGGGGGAATGCGACAATTGCATATCCCTAAATAACGGCCTATCACCTACCCACCACTCATCCCAGAAACTAACAACGCCCTCGCCCAGCACCAAGAAAATGTGATCCTGGGTGCGCCTACCAACCCTAGTAAGGCGTAGCCACTGCCTACTATCGTGATCAACAACCGTCACCCAACAAGGATGGTTGGCACGTCTAGAGTAGTACTTGCCGCGAAGGTACTGAGCCCAAAGCGACTTTCCTTCCCTGAAGCGCCACCACAGCTTGTATGAGAAGGCTGTAACAATGTCCCTGAGGCGGCGGATGCCAAGACCACCTTCGGGGAGGGGTCGACAGATGGAGTCCCAACTCACCTAGTGGGTACGTCTCCCCCTCCCAGAACCGTCCTCCTTACCCCAGAAATAACGAGCCATAATCTGGTTTATCTCGTCAAGAGTAGACCTAGGGGGTCGAGGACCATAAGCAAGTGAATCGGAAGAGAGCTAAGAGTGCTCTTGATCAGCGCAAGCCGACCACCGAAAGAAAGATGTCTATGCGACCAACCAGAGATCCTGTCGATCATCCTCTGCCTGACGCCCGCAAAGAGCGCTCTCGTGAGGTTGCCCTTATATAAAGGGACGCCAAGGTAGGTAATCGAGAGGTCACCACGCGCAAAGCCAGTAATGTCGTGGACCCGCTGAGCCCACCTAGCCACGGTGGAAGAGGAGAGGGTGAATGTGCTCTTCTGCACACTGACCAGCTGACCAGTAACTGAGCCATAGTGCTCCAAAAGGCGCATGAGCTCGACCAGTCCATCATCATCCGCCCGGGTGAAGATGATGATGTCATCCGCGTAAGAGAGGTGAGAGATGGGAGGACCATAGCCATGGGTGCTATACGTCATATGAGGAAAGTCGCAGATGAAACAGTCAAGGCAGCGAGAGAGGTAGTCCGCCGCAAGGACGAAAAGGGAGGGGGACAGGGGGTCGCCCTGTCTAAGGCCTCTAGATGAGGGAAAGAAATCGGTGGGGCTGCCATTGACCAGGACCGAGAACGTGCAGTGCTCCACGCACGCCTCGACAAAACTGATCCAGCGGTCAGGGAATCCCATCCTAGCCAGGGCCTCCCTGGAGGTGGCCAACAGATTCGACGTCACAAGAGCTCCTCGGCCTTCACCACGCACCGCAGGCGGGAGGTTTGCATCCTTACCGCTATCCGAACCGTCGCCAACAACACCCTCGATTTGAGATCTACTCCATGTCCAGCTCCTTCCTCCCCGCCGTCGGCGCTGCCTGCTGCCTTGAGGCTCAACTTGTTACCGTCTGTAGATCAAAATTGCGGTTTACTAATTTAGGGTTTGGCAAAATTTGGTTTGATATATTGAAAGTTTCATTTGATTGATGTTCAGATCTGTAAGTTGTTGAGATTTGTTTTTTAATTTCTGCTCAATTTTCCTTTGCTATTTGAAACATTAACTTTGAAATTATTGCCATGACTGAGAAATTTGGTCGGATCTTTAGTCCAGCGGATAATTTTCCTCAACGCTTTGGAGAAGAAGCGTTGAACAAATCGTGAATGTTAATTGTTTTCTCAGTTTAATTTTTTAATATCTTTTAGTATGTGATATATTTATTACTTTGAACGATTTGGAGTGTTAATTTGATGTTTATCTACGGTTGTTATGTAAATTTGATGTTTATCTATGGTTGTTAATTCGTTTTTTTCATCTTATTTCTAGTTTATATTCAATTTTTATTTTTATTTTTTTAGCATTCAATTATTTCATTGTTTTTTTGNATAATCAAAAGTTTTAAATAAATTTAGAGTTATGATAAACTTAAGATAAACGTAAGATAAACTTAAGATAATCAATATTTTAAAATAAATTTTAGAGGTATGATAAACTTAAGATAAACTTAACATAAACAAAAAAAATTATAGACAGAATTGGTGTCGAATTGATATAGAGAAGACACTGGAGTATAGAACTGGAATGATTTTAAATTTCTCGTCCTTACGGAAAAGTTTTTTTAAAGAATCGTCGCCACGTCCTTTAGCCAAGATCTTTTGGTAACATTTAAGTGAGCAAATTCCATCATCCTTTTTTCTATTTTGAAACTGTCCAAATCTTTTGTACATGCCATTGCGAAAAAATCAAAAAACAATTTTAAACAAGTTATACCCCATGCATTTGCACGAAAAGTGATATAATAAAAGAGAAAGTAATTAAAATTATAGAATAAAATAAAAATCATAACTATAAATGAGATAAAAAAAATAATTCGAAAAAGTGAATCTAATATTATTAAACATTTTTTTATATACAACATTCGTGGTTTCCTGTTGTCAGAATCCTCGTCAAAACAAATCATTACAATTAAACCCTTCAACTCGTGACTCTGAGATTTGATTTTTTAAAATATATAATATATCTTTGTAATATCCAAAAAATATTTTTGTATTATTGTACTGCAATGGAAAATAACAATATATGTAGTCATTCTTAATTAGTTGAGAAATAGGTATTTGTATAATACCAGAATATATATAGTATCAAAATAAAAATAAAAATATTTTGTATTTCAGGAAATAAAAAAGCGTTATAGAAATGGTCACTTTCCACAATGGGACCTGTCAAAATAAATGTGTAACTGAAAGTTACATATTTTTATTAAATGGTGAACATATTTTTATTAAATGAGCACCTATTTATATTAAATGAACTCATATTATTATTAATTCTGGCTAAATAAATTATTGAAGTTATATATATATATATATATATATATATATATATAGAGAGAGAGAGAGAGAGAGATTAAAGTTGTAACCTCCGAAGTTTATGGCCATGCATTTATCACGTAATGATCTCTCTTTAATCTCAAGCTAGAAAAACCCAATTGAGCCTTCACTTTACCTTGAGGAACTTAGCAAATTTCAGAAATTTTCACATCTTTCTCTCTCGCCATTTTTCACTCAAGCTCTTTGATATCTCTCAATTTCATCATCTTCCCTTGCGAGCCGTGCACCACCTCATAACGAGTGCCGATGCATGTAGAGCCGAGGACGTGCGACTTGGGAAACCCACACACAACAGCCAAGGGAATTTCCGTGAGCAGCAGTCACCGAGACCTTGCAACACGCAACACCGAGCCGAGCGTAGCCACCGAGGGACATCCGCGATCAGCTGCTAAAACGTCATTACACACGAGCCACCGCAACATTTTTGCCAGGTTTTTGAACACGCGAGTAGTCGGGTCCACTCATTGCCGAAAGCTAGCCGAGACTTATTCAAAAATCTAAATTTCGATCCGTTTCAACTGGGCTTGTAGATTTCGGAAGATCGGAAAATATTTCTAGGCCTTTTGAGATTTTTTGTTAAGAAATCGGTTTAGATAATTTGGATTAGAAAGTTGATGATTCTATTGAAATTTTGTAAAATAAGAACTTGGTGTCCTTATGTGGTATTTTGTGGAAATAAGGAGCCCTTGGTAATAAGGAGCTCTTTATACCAAGGTTTTAAAAACTGAACCGGTCATCGAACCGGTGAAGCTATCGGTTCAATGGTTCATTGGTCGGACCAATGGTTGAACCGGTCGAACCGATTTAATTTTTTATTTATTTTATAGGTATAATATATAATTGTACATATTTTTTTATCATTAGTTCTAGGCATAATGGCGGGAAAAATATACGACCTTTACGTGTTTGACCATTTAATCACCACCTTTAGACCTTGGTAAATAAATACATGATCTTTACATTTTTGGCAACCTGATACATGGTTTTAACTGCTGTTAACGGGAATCCTACGTGGCTTTTAAAACTGACGGACACACAAAACAGACGTCCGAGTCAGCGCCTAGGTGGTAGGATCGGGTACTATAAAAGCCGAATCTGCCCCTATTTTTGCCCAAAATCTTCATTCCCAAAACCTGACCCTAATGTCATTTCATTTCGCCCAAAATCGCCCCAAAATTTGCACTTAAATGTCGGCAAGTTCGAGCTCAGATTCAAGGAGATTCAAGTTAGTATGTGCACGTGGAGACGAACCAGGTATATTCACGTCAAATACCGACCTCAATCCTTGTTGTCGATTTCGACGTTGCATCAACACAGAGGTGACTGTTGCAATATGGTTTTTTGATTATGTTTTGTGTCGATATGAGTGCAATTGTGTCGATATGACTGCAATTTGGCGTAGTTTTTGTAATTTCATGCGTGGCCGATCTGAGATGAACTGACCTGTTCGATTTGAAGTGCGAGTTGAATTTGATGAAATGAACTCAAAAAATACGAGTTGAGTTTGAAATTTCAGTTTACGATATGAGCTGAAAATTTTGGCTTTATGACATGAACTTAGTTTAGGGTTTTTAGATTGTCTGATTTGTTCTAATCCTTGCTTCATTGTAAAAGAAATCCTGTAGATACTTTTCTTGGATTGATCCGGAGCTTGGACCATTTCATAAATCATGTTTTATGAAACTGAAGGCTGATAAGACATTGTTGGAGGAGCAATTAAAATGCAAGGAAGTCACTGTAGTAGCAATGGCTGAGAGGCTCTAATTGAAGAATGATGAACTATTGTATCTTAAATCCAAAGTAAATGACTTGGAGGAGCAATTAAAATGCGAAGAAGTTACTGCAGTAGCAATGGCCGAGAGGCTAAAAATGAAGGAAGATGAACTTTTGTATCTTAAATCCAAAGTAAATGACTTGGAGGAGCAAGTACAAGTATTGTCCAAGAGAAACATCTTCAGAAACCTTATTGTGTGTGTGTCAGTAGTGTTATTTGCTGTTTTGCTTTTTTCCTTGGGTAAAGGGGAAAATGGTTGATTGATGTTCTATTAGCTTTAAGTTTGGAACTTCATCTCGGTTATGTATTGCCAATGAACCATTTCTGATGCTGCCTTTTGTAAACTTTGCAGTTTGTTATGGATTTTTTTTTTTTTATNGTAAGTTTATTTCAGTGTATGTGTATGTTGGTGCAATATATTGTATGTTAACATTGACAATGATCATTTTGGCTTATTTTAGTTACGTTTACAGTTACTTTATTTCATTTCACAACCATCTTATAAGCACAAATCTGTGTACAAGCATATTGAATACCAAACAACTTCAAAATGAAGACATGTTTACTAACAAAAGTCTTGCTGCCATCCTTAGATAATTCAAAGTCAAATCCAATCCAAATTCCACAACCAAAAACATCAAATCCAATCCAAATTCAGAAATTACATGGTTTACAACTGCATCTCCAATCCCACAACCAAAAACATAAAAAAACAAGGCAGCTCAGAACATACACCCCCAAAACCTAACAATAGTACATATCCATGACAACTAAGGTGAAAAGTTGCACACACTCTCTTGGGTCTTGGGCAATTCTTAGATGTTTGTTTCTTTTGTTCATGTGATGATCCAGGCCTTCTGTTATGTACAAAGTTAACTCTACTTTGCCCTGCCATCTGATTAAGCAGTTGTGGAACAAATTAAGTAAAGTTTTGAAAAATGCATAACAAATTAGCACAAGGAAAAATATGGTGAACAATGAAGCATACCCTCATATAAATGTCTCATGTCTGCTCATAGACCATCACACCATATCCTTTTTTTTCCTAAACAATGAAAACAACAATAAGTTAACTAAACTGACATTTAGCTTTATGTAAGAAAATAAAGTTAGCTTTTTTACCATTGCTCTGTCTCTTGCCCTAATAGCTTGCACATTTTGAGATGATTGTCCAACACTTCTGATCCTAGAATTCTTCCTTGTCTATTGCATAGAAGCTGTGGCTGATCTTGTAGTTGGGGTTGTTCTGGCTGCTCTGGTGACTGTGGTTTCTCTTCTGGTAGTGGTTGCTCTTGTGGATGGGGCTTTTGTTGGGGCTTGTGTTTGTGGTACTTGGGGTGGTGCTGGTGTTGGGACTGGTGTTGGGTTTGTTGGTGGAGTAGATGTTGGTGTTACAGGCCTATCTCTTGCAGAAGACTCCACATGTTGCTCCTTTGTCCTTGGTCTCCCCCTCTTTTTCTACAATTTGACAACAAGGATATTAACATAATGCATCATAAATGTTCATAAATAAGCACCAACAATAAAACTCACTCTTGTCTGTGCAGGAGCAGCTTCATTGGGGCATGTCCTGATGTTATGCCCAATTTTCTTGCATTTTTGACAAGTCATTTGTAGTCCAAATCTCCTCAGCTTAGTGTCACTCTTGGCCTCTTCTTCAGGTGCTCTTCTCCTTCTTATTCTAGGACTACCAGGCATCTTTTTAAATGGAGGTGGCTTGACAGTGGACCCAGATGCATCAGAACACATTTTAGGTCCATTTAGTGGTTCAATAGAAAAGGAGTATGCACTCAAATTTCTTTCTACATAGAAGTATGGGCTGATAAAATCCACTACATCCCTCTTTATGTAATGAATTGCAGAACAAGCATGGATATATGGTATACCAGATATATCCCAGCTTCTACAACTACATCATGCACTTCAAATCAACTACAAATTGATCATCTGATATGACAACTTGAAATTTTTCACCCACTGCAGGTTTGGTCACACACAACCTACTACTTAACTTATTTTCCTCAAATTTTTTCCTTATCCTAGGACATATTGTGTCTTTTACTCCACTGGTCAACATTTGTTTGTGATGCTGCCTTTCCATTACATAAGATCTAATACTATCAAGAATGTCAACAATAGGTTTTTTCCTTGCCTTCACTATGGTACTGTTGAAAGTTTCACACACATTATTAAGTATCATCAGTCCTGCTATGGAGCCATCCTGATTGAAAAACGTATTCTGAGAATAAGTATTTCAATCAGGATGGCTCCATAACTGAGCCATCGGATGGCTCCATAGCATTAGCCTAAGTATCATATCACATTTTGGATTCTCAAGGATAAAAGCTTTATAGAACCTGACATTTTCCAGCTTCATGAGTTCCTCATAAGCCTCCTTATCCACTACCTTCATCCCTTCAAGTGCCTCCTTATAGGCTGCCTTGTATGTGTTGTGCACTACCCTCCAGAAACAACTTTTAAGTGCACTGCCTTTTTGAGATTTCTTCCAGTTCATGTACACATGCCGTGCACAGTTTCTATGTTATGCATGTGGTGAGAGATCCCTTATAGTAGCAATGAGTCCCTACCTAATGAGTTAAAGAAGAACATATATTAGAGACATGCCAAAAAAGAAATATATATATATATATATATATATATATATAAATGCCTGTAATATGATTCAAAAACTAACCTTTTGCTGATCACTAATAAATGTCCATCCAAGTCCATCTGTTATCCCTAAATCTTGAAAAAGAATATCTAAAAACCATTTCCAATTGCTCTCATTCTCAGAATCCACAACTGCCATGCCAAGGAAAATATTTGGTTGTTCCCATCCTTGCCAACATTACACAATAAAACTCCTCCTAAAAAGGTCTTCAAAAAACACCCATCAAAACCAATAATTGGCCTATAGCCTTGCAAGAAACCTTGTCTGAGTGCACTAAAACCAACATAAAAACCTTTGAATACACTGCCACTCTCCAAGACAAGCTGAAATGTGCCATTTCTATCAACCCTTTGAAGCTCTGCAATGTACCTCCTAAGTTTTCCATAGTGCTCGTCCTCTGTACCTCTAAGCAGTTCAAGAGCTCTAGTTTTTGCTTTGTACACTTTCCACCTAGAGGGTTGCACACCATATTTTTTACTGATAGAATCCTCTAAGTCAGAAATTTTCATCTTAGGCTTCTTCCTAATCATAGGTAGATACTCTTCGGCAACCCATGAAGCAGTTGCTTGTTTAGTGTTCAAGTCCCTATGGCAGCTGTGGCTACTAGCCACACTACCTTCACCTTTTATCAGACTAGCATAATGCCTCCATGGACAACCCACTTCACAATTCGGCTTTTATAGTACCCGACCCTGCCACCTGGGCGCTGACTCGGACGTCCGTTTGGTGTATCCGTCAGTTTTAAAAGCCACATAGGATTCCCGTTAACGGCAGTTAAAACCATGTATAGGGTTGTCAAATATGTAAAGGTCATGTATTTATTTGCCAAGGTCTAAAGGTGGTGATTAAATGGCCAAACACGTAAAGGTCGTGTATTTTCCAGCCATTAAGCCTTAGTTTTATAATGTATAATGACATTTGTTTAAATAAATAAAGGAAAAATATAAAAAAAAAATCGTGCATATTCTAATTATTTTAGCTACCATGCACGATTCTAGGTGTAGGCTTATAACCATTATGCCTTATTGCTTTGTAGGTTTATATGCGTGGTAGTTAAGTCTACACTTAAAATATATTTTAATTATTGTGGGCTTATAACTTATAACCAATAGGTTAGAATATATCTTAATTATTATGAGCTTATAAGTTGTAGTCAATAGGCTTTACTTTTGAGCAATAAGGCAAGGGTCCAAGCAATAAGTAAAGGCCTTGATTTCCAGCAACAAACCAATAAGGCCCAATAACGCATAAAGGCCCAGTTTTCAGTAAGCCTTCATTTTTGAAATCCCGCAACTCCCACATCAGAAGCACTACGAAATTAATTCTGCTATTTACATGCTTTGACACAAGCTTTCTTACAAAGAAATACATGGACTGGCGGCCTGTAGAATCTGTTGCCGGTTTGACGATTTTGCCAGTTTTTGACCGGTTCGAACATTTTATATCTGGTTTTAAGCCCCAGTAGTCCCATACCTCAAATCGGACCGGTATATGGGTTGGTTCGCGGTTGAATCGGTCGTCCTAGTCCAGTTCTCAGAACCTTGTTTTATATTAGAAAATCCGATTTTTGGGAATTTTGGAGCCTTGCTTATACTTTGGAATTTTGGGGAAAAGAAATGAAAATTTTAAAGCCTTTTTGATGTTGAAAAATTTGAAGATCATTGAGCCTTGGAAAATTGTATTTCGTGCCCTATAAATAAATTTTCTATGTTTTGGAAAATGTTGGGATAAATTGGTATTTGAAACATATTTGGTGACCTTGAATCCCAAGCCACGGACCAAACTCTGGCCGGGAACAAGCGCATGAGGCATGGTCGTATGTAGAAGGTTGCGCTGGGAAGGGTGGAAGTCACGCGGGCATGCCTACAGCACGACCGGGCAGTCGCGTGGTGCACCATTCACGCTTGCTGGCAACCTGCGGTCGCTTGTGGGTTGAGAACGCGTTGTGGTTTGCCGCGCAGTGTGTCTCTTCACAGTGTTGCCGGCTGGCTTAAGTATTGCCGCAGATGACGTCCATCAGAGCGCAAGCAGCCACCCGATATCTCGCGCTCGCGAAGTCCTTGTCAGCGTGCGGTACCAGGTTCCAACAGCAACAACAAGCCACCAGCACCTTATCAACCTAGGACGCGTGCACGCACGTTGGCTAGTGTGTGGGCGCGCAACATTCTAGGCCGCAGCGGGTGAGTTTCTGTGACCGGGGGTGCGTAGGTCGAGCCGCAGCCGGGTTGCTAGCGCCCGTGCAACCAGACTCGAGCCTGCAGCCAGTCGCGAGGACTCCAAGCCTATTTTTGAAACCCTTGGTCTATTTTGAGTTGGTTTGAACTGTTTTCTGAGCCGAATAATATTTTTAGAATTTTAGATGCTATGCCTTTTTTCACCAATAAACGATAGTTTCGAAATTCCACAAATTTTATAAAAGTGCTTAATCAAATTTTATAAAAGTGATTAAGTTGGAAATTAGTTATTTCCGAGATAATTAGCTAAGTGTTGATAAAAGCTTTGTGTTAAAAATGTAGATTTTTGAGCAGTTGACTCGAGAGCTGTTCTAGGTGATATCAGCTTTGCCATCTTCATTTTCTTCATCCA